ACGGCCAAATAATCCATCATCCAACTGAAAAAGCAGAGCTTCTTAACAATCACTTCACTAATATTTCTACATCAACACCTGACCTTGAATTACCCCAAACAGCACAACCCAATGCCCCCTATTCACTATCAAACATTCATATCACTGAACAAGATGTTTCCGATCAAATTAATATACTCAACACTAATAAACCCCCAGGCTCTGATGGTGTTATTCCTAAAATTGTGAAAAAGCTTCATGCTTCTCTTAAATTACCTCTTATGTTATTATTCAATAAGACACTAGAGTCTGGTATAATACCTTTTAGTTGGAAACAAACAAATGTTAATGCTATTTATAAAGGAAATGGCTCATCTAATGATGTGTATAATTACCGACCAATTTCAATTACATCATGCTTCAGTAAAATAATGGAAAAAAATGTTTTTAAATATCTATACAAGTTTTTGATTGAGAATGATATTATTACTAAGCATCAGTCTGGCTTTATACCTGGTGATTCTACTGTCAATCAGCTTTTGTTTATTTATAATGAAATTGCAAGCAATATGGATAAAAGAAAGGAGCTTAGATTTGTTTTTTTGTGATATCAGTAAAGCCTTTGACAGAGTATGGCACAAAGGTCTTTTATTTAAATTGAAATAATATGGTATAAATGGAAATCTACTTTTGTGGTTTGAAAATTATCTGTGTAACAGAATGCAAAGAGTAAATACTGAAGGTTATTTTTCACAATTTAAGAATGTAAATGCAGGGGTACCTCAAGGATCTGTCCTCGGACCACTATTATTTCTTCTCTATATCAATGATATCACTACTAATGTTTCCACCAATATCAAACTTTTTGCTGATGACACTTCTCTGTATGTAATTATAGATGATAACCCAGCACAGGCCGCACAATCTCTCAACACTGATCTTACTAACATAGGTGAATGGGCAACAACTTGGGACATTAAATTCAATCCAAGTAAAACAAAATCACTCATATTTTCTAGAAAACAAGACACCCATCACATCCCACTATTTTTCCAAAATAGCCAAATCATAGACACATCATCACATCAACACTTAGGACTTACACTTCAAGATGATGCAACATGGAAACAGCACATACAGAATATATACAAAAAAGCTTACAATAGACTTAATATTCTTCGCCATGTCAAAACTAAAGTCAATAGAAAATCTTTAATTAAAATATATATGGGATTTATTAGGCCAATTTTGGAATATGCAGATATTATTTGGGATAATTGTACACAACAGGCAAAAGATATTCTTGAATCTGTACAATTAGAAGCAGCTAGGATAATAACAGGTCTTCGTTCTGGGGTATCACATGACAAACTATACAATGAACTAGGTTGGGAAACACTATCTGTAAGACGAAATAAACACAAACATGTAATGATGTACAAAATTATGCATTGGCAGACACCTCAATACTTACAAAATGTTTTAAATCCCTTTATTAATAATCAAAATGATAACCCCTACCCTCTCAGACAAACTAGGCTTTTCAACCCACCTTTATGTAGAACTAATAACTATTTTGACAGTTTTTTCCCTCAAATGTGCCGCACAATTAACATTGCAAATTCTGATCTTCTTAATTCTCCCTCTCCTGCAGCATTAAAAAAATATTTGAATAAAGATATTATTTCTGATAGTGAATCTGTTTCAATTTTCAAAACAGAAGGTAACCGAAGAGCAAGTATTATTCTATGTCGACTTCGAAACTCTTGCAGTAATTTAAATTATGATTTACACCATGACCATCTTACTAATAGTCCTGCTTGTACCTGCTCTGCTGAACATGAAACAGTATCTCATTACTTTTTGGAATGTCCTATTTTTAATAATCAAAGAACAACTTTGTTCACTTCTCTTAATAGTTATGGAAACCACAACCACATTGATAAAAACATTCTTCTCCAGGGCTGTCCTGATTGTGATGGGCTTACAAATAGAAGAATACTTGATGATGTGCATATTTTTATTGGAAAATCCCGTCGTTTTAATTTTTATATGACTTAAAGCCATGATGGTATACAAAAATATACTATATATTCTATATTTCATCCAGGAGATTCTAGTTGAGCATGACTACTGTCTATTGCGTGTACTTATCATGACATTGTAAATAATTACACTTTATATGTATTAAATGAATTTATTATTTTTAATTGTAACAGTTGTTGGTAGCAGTGACCTGTGCAATATATGCACATGGACTTTTGGTCTAAGCCTGCCAATATCTGTCTATGATAGTGTATATATATGCTGAAATAAATGTATTTGTACATGTACTTGCATGTGTGTGTAAGTGTGTGTGTGAGATGTTTCCTTCATGAATTACTTCCCCTTAGCCTTGTGTTATTATGAATTATTTTGTGTTATTTTTTTCATTTGCAACACGTCTAAAATATTATGTCTCCTTGTTTATTCAACTTTGGCCATTTGACGGAGATAATTTATATAGGCTTTGCCTGTTATTCAATCCAATTGATTATGACATCTTGTCAATAAAATTTGATGAAATGAAAAACAAAATAGAACCAAACCAAACTTAAAAAAAACCACTCCTACTTCTTGCGAAGACAAGCCTCAATGTGTAGCATGTCACGAGCTACATGTATTTACAGTAAAAATCGTTAAGATTATAATGACGTTCAACCAACACCAGACAGTTTCCAAGAGTAATATAGCAAGTATTAAATCTCAATTATTTACAAACTGAAAGTGTTGGTCTGTTCCTAGAGATGTAATTACCAATAAAGACTTCAATTGAAATTAAAATTTGTCTTTTACAATTTTGATTATTCATGTAATTTCATTACAAATATTTGATTAACCTTTTTTTGGCCGAAAATTACCTCTTCTGTGCCGTGACAAATTCAATACTAATAACAATTAATAGCACAGCACTGTGTTGTATCTTTGAGCAATAAACTTTACTCCGCTTGTTCCAGTCTACTCAGCAGTAAATGATTGCAAAGGTCCTATAACCACGGATAATAATTTGTGAACCGCTTTGAGACGACCTACGAGCTAGATTGTGATAAAGCGATATATAAGAACGTAGAGTTTTTATTATTACTATTATTTGTCTACGTTTGTTATGGTTCCGAATCTACCTGCGGTAATATGATAGTGTACACAAGGCCAGATTTAATGATACCTGCAGTTGATAAAGCCATTTTATTATACGAGTTCAACAAAGCGCCTAGCTGGTAACGGTGAAATATTCCATTCATACTGTGTCGGGCTTTTGGTTGATTGATAGTATTTTAATTATACGTACAAGCCATAGCTTGAAGGGCACTAGGTAAACTACCATGTGTGTCTAATGGTGTTGTATTACAGAAATGTCTATATTCATATTCTTTATTAACTTTAAGCTTTCCAGCTCATCAGTGTACATGTAGCAATATAAATACAGTGGCAGACACTGCAAAACGCAGTGGAGAATGGACAAAAGATTTGACACATTTAAATGTCATTATATCATAGTCTTCCTCAATTTAGTGGCATCATAAATATATTTGCTAAACCTAGTTAGTTCTTTTACATTTGTTGAGCACAGTAATTGTACTAACTTAAGAACAGATGGTTTTCTCCAGTAATACATTTTTAAACACTTTGATCTGAGCTCTTATAAGCAAAAAATGATATTCGTCCTCTATATCTACAGAATTACATATTTTACAATAGCGTTCATTCCTTACAATATTTCTATATCGTCCTGTTTCAATATGCAACGTATGTGCAGACAAACGTATCTTTGTAAGTGCAATTCTATGTTTCTTGGGTATATATTTACATAGATAATGTTCTAATGATAGAGTATTTACTAAATGTCTATACAAGTGACATTTTGGTGAATTCTCTAACATTTCAGAAAGTTCTTGTCTAACATGATCAAAAATTCGTTGTTTAATAAGTGGTAAAACCTCAGATATATTACGAAAATTTTGATTTAACCACACATCACCAAACCCGAGTGAAAAAAGTCTATCCTTCACAAAGGACAACCAACTAAAAACATTATTACGCTTGGGCATTTTCAATAATTCATCATAGGCAGTTTCAAGATACAGTTCTTGGCATTCAATAACTTGAACCAATATTTAATCATATTATAAAGCCGGGTATATATAAAAGGGAATCGACCCAGTTCAAAATAAATCATAACATTACAAGTGGACTTTTTAACACATAAAATCCTTTTACAGAATTCTAAATGGACATTCTCGACATCATTACCTTTGCATGCACCCCAAACTTCAGATGCATAGCACAGTATACTATTCACGTATGTATCAAATAACTTTACCAACGTATGACAGTTTAGATTCATATTTTTACATTTAGCATAGAATGCAAATATAGCCGTTCGCCCTGTATAAAACATTCCACACATGTGTACTTCATACAAATAATGTCCCGGTATAAAGCAGGCTGTGACTTATACATGAGATTGTATCTGCTTGGTCTACTGTAACCTGGTGTCTCGGCAATTTCCTACCTGTTCAATCGGAGTTAGCGACACAACAGACACTAAACGCCTTATGTCATTCATTTGAATGTAATCGATACCCCTTTACTCCACTTGACCATAGCAATTTTGGTGATGAGAAAGTCGTTCAGTATTTGTATTAACAATTTTACCGTAGTGACCTTCCTTTGAACAAACTGGATAGTCCAGTATCCTAGTATGATAATGGCTAAATATAATTAACTTTGAAGAAAATTTGCATTGCCGACGTGCCGTACAACAAAACAAAAACAAAACAAAGAAACGCGCAAGTGTCATTTATTTCGGGGGTGATTTTGAACCTTACACCGGTATTGGTCTTTATTCATACCGTAGCGTGATATCGATGTACGGCGTGTTTACTACAGCTCAATGCAATCGGTTTCATGAAAGTGGATGTCAGCGAGGAAAACACAACACATTACAAGAGAGTGATCAATGTTATAAGGTAGGTGAACGTTTTAACATTGAATATATCATGTAGTTGATTTGGTTATTAAAGTTCACCAGGCCCTCTGAATCACGACGTGATTGCTGTATATTTCAACGCAATGATAATTCCTATGTCAAGACCAAAGACCATCTTCATTGTGATATGTCATTTGCATATATATTGAACATGATCATTAGCTACTAAAATGAACTTGAGAATGTCCAGGGTGACTTTAAATCATACATCGGTATTGATCATACAGTCTGTTAGGTGCTATTTAAGGCTGATGTCTTTATAAAAAATAATTTACTGACATTTAAACATGTCGGTCTCTTTTATCAACAATCCATATGATACAAAATTACGCCTCGGCTAAATGCAATCAATATACCTAGTTCGTGCAGAGCTTAATTTCTTTTTTACTTGCTGCTAAGGCCCATTACGGACTACAGTTTCGATGGCTTGGTTTGGTTTGATTTTGTTTGTCGTCCTATAAACAGCCCAGGTCATGCATCATTTAAGGATGTGCATCCATGCATGTGGTGTGTGCGTGTAGGTATGTATGTGTGCTGGAGGCATGGTATTGTTGTTACCAATCAAAACTACATTTTAAATGGTAAAATGTCCGGTAAGGTGAAACCTAAGCCCATATAAGTAGATTTATAAATGTAATGTATCGACAGAGTCTTTTTGTTACATATAGTATTGTTATACATGATCTTGACATGTTATACACAAAACAGCACTTCTTTCTTTAATGTTAATTACATGTACAGTTTTTCTGCAACAACATTGATTGATACAATTATACTGGTGGTATGCAATGTGTTATAACATATGCATATACCCTGTTATATTGCATTGATCTATTAACTTACCGGCTTTGACACCCCTACAGGTCGGGGATCGAGAAAATACACCTGCTGTTACCCACTGCGTGTATCGTAAGATCGACTAATGTTGAAACATCCAGCAGAATTTGTGATTTGCTTTTGGACACAGAAGCAACCAAAATAGATGTGTTGCACCGATTGCAATATTGGGGATCTTTATATTCCTCTTTTGTCTTAACTACCTTTTATTTTCTTGCGCCTTGCTTGGCAATACGTCACGTTTGGCTTTAATGCCACCCGTAATAATGTGACCGGGCGGAATGTTGTGCTTGGTGCTTTGACATCGTATTTAGCTGAACTTATCTGTAAATAGAACCTTTAGCAATTAAAACCAAACCTTACCGGCGTTGACGGCATGGATCTGAAAGCATTGATCTGTCATGAATACGCAGCCATTCATTTCATTTGTGGGTTCCTGGTACGATTTTTATTGAGCAAAAAACGAACTTTATTATCATATACCTTTTCAGTCGTTTTGTTGACACAGGACATGACAGCACAGGAACAGGCACACTCATTCAAAACCGCTGATGTCGGACATTGTTTACACAATGAGACGATAAACACATTTGTTAACACTTGTATAGAATCAGTAAATAAATGTATCTTATTTTCTGTATAAAGTTAACACGATTCATCTTCGTCGTGATACTTGTGTCTGTATTTCTTAATATTATTGTTATAGTTGATATACGCCCTCATCGAACACTCCTATAAATGTGTAATCGAACGCACCTGTAATGTGTGTATGTGTAATACGTCATATATTATGTGAACGCTGACTGCACTCCTGAATACACAAGATCCCCACAGACGTACATTAAATTAATCTCTATAATAAGATATGACATATTTCATAAACAATTCGTTTGCTATTGATATATTTTGACATCTTTTACACATTTGAACCCTTTGTTTCTGGCTTTCATGTATTCATATTTTGTGAATGTCTATTTTTTGAAATTGCTGTTTGGCCCTTAATGACTCAAATTGTCGATGGGCCGTAAACAATACAATAACAATAACGCCCTAGACAATTGGGGGGGGGGGGGGGGGGGGGGGGGGGGGGAGGGATGTACGACACCAATGGAAATCGGTGCATTTTGGTTCAACAGTGCATTATTGTATGAATACATTTCTGAAATGGACAATGACATTTCATTAGAGTTTTGATTGTAACATTTATATCTTCGTTGTATCGACGATGATACATATGTAGCTAATAATTAGCACCCTCCTTTTACTTTAATACCTCATTATATGTGAGAAAATAGCAAGTAGGTTTTAAGTTTGATTTCGCATGTTCCTATTACTTTACCAGATATACTTTTAAAATAATAATTCGAGGTTTTTATATACCACTTGATGTCAACCTAGTTCGTAGATCGTCTCAGGGCATTTAATGTTGTCCTGGCGATAGAGACAGACGCTGTGAAGATATTTCCTTACTCGCTACCGGATTCTTATTTATTGAAACACGATGACCCGCTTCAAAGCACAGCATATTATGTGCCATTAACAATAAAATTAACACTCGTTATATGATTGTTTTGACCTTCAACTAACACGAGAGAAATTTTGTTATCCATATACAGTATCACGCGTCTTTAATTCCTTCTTTCAGAACAAAATCAAGGGTAGTGGAGTGACACAGTGGATAGCACATTCGACTCTTACTAAGACGGCTGGTGTTTGATTCCTCGGTTGGACTTGAAAAGTTATGGGTTCACCTGCCCTATCATATCAAAGTGTTTTTTTTTCCATATTTCTTAACTTTATCATTTATCTGATTATTATCTGAACCTAAAATCATTCTCTATTTCAGTTAAGGCAAGATCCCATTGAGTGACAATTTGATCGTTTCATAAAGGGTTGAATTAAGCTGATATGCTGCAAAGACGGCTATTCAGCCGTTGTTGTTCTGGTAAGTACAAAAACGTTCAAAAGTTTCATGATATAGTTTTTTTTACTTGTTACATGTGCTATTTCAGACTACCTGTATTTTTCATTGATTCAAGTTATGCGAATTCATTCGAAGGTAGATTAATAGCATAGAGAGGAGGTTGTCCTCTCGCGACTGCGCATAGGCAATACATACATCACGCATAGTTACATTTTACAAAAAGAAGAGCAACCTTATTGTCATGCATAGGACAACCATTTGCAGTCAAACTTTTTATGAGTGAATGCGCTTATTACAAACAAAAACAAAACAGATTATAAAATGTATCGTGTATAAAAAGTGTATTTGATTCAGTTTCTGTTCAATCAATATGATATTATTTACACTCAATAGATAACGGCCCTGTTAATGAAGTTTTTTCACACCTATTAAACCCTGTTATTTCTAGTTTGATGTATTCATTTTTGTGAATGCCTATTTTAATGTGTTGTTTGGCCCTAAATGACTCGCATGAAACAATACAAAAACAAAACAAACTTTAGCACTTTACTCTTTTTGTAGGAAGAAACAACATGGCTTGCTCATACGGGAGAGTGTACGTAACTATATGTGTTATCGCAGTGGTCTTCGTATTCCTGGTCGGAAAATATCAAAATGAGCTGTCCAATATCTCTTCAGTCAGAATGGACAACCTTTATAGCAAGTATGGAGTAACCATTGAAGACAATGTCGAGGAATGCGAGAGCAAATCGGTACGCAATTGTTATTTTCCACGTTATATTGCTGTAACAACATGATATGAGTTAATTATCACTTTATAACAGGTTGCACTGTTCTTCACGATTCTTAAACATTGATTTTGATGTTACAGTGCAAACATGATAATGTCGTTCAAAATTTAATATCTTTTACTCATTGAACACATCTTTTCAATGCTAATAATTAATACATGAATGTATATCGTTTTTGCATTAAAAGACCAGAAAAATACACCTCCTTAAAGTAGACACTGACTTTTTTAAAGATTATCAATTCATTCATGTTGATCAATTCCTTCATTTGATGGCAGGCCGTTCGAAAAATAGGCCTTCCATATCCCACTACATGTCATAAAAGGCGATAGTGAGGTCCCTACAGAATCTGAGGCTTTCTTCAGGGGACATTGAAGAAACCACACTTGGTCTGCTGTCCCAATGGCCACATTTCGTATAATCGAAATGTCTGGGTCATACCAGTGTCCTTAAATATATCCTGCTTAACGTTCAGCACTTAGGGTAATGGCAAAAACTGGATAAGTCGTAGTTAATATATAATGACTTGGTGGAATACTGTGTCCTGCACACACACACACGCATACATTATACACACGGAGTAACGTCCTGTAATCACTTTAGCTGTCAATAGGACGTTTAACAAAATAAAGCCAAACCAAACATGGTGCCTTCGTAATGGTGTTTCAGTGAGTTAGCACTATGAAGTCGACATCAGATCCGCACGATTACACTGTATCACAAGGAGGGAAATACACCAACATGCCACTGGATCCCTTCGTAATGGTGTTTCAGTGAGTTAGCACTATAAAGTCGACATCAGATCCGCACGATTACACTGTATCACAAGGAAGCAAATACACCAACATACCACATCCAGTATACACACATGCAAACTGTTAATAGAACCTTAAACAAAGAAATACAACTCATCACAACTACATTTCTCTTCACGATGAGAAACATGCAGTTAACGATACACAACGCCAGAAAATCAAATATCGTTCTACCCAGGGATACTTTCTTTGGAACCCTTTCTTAAAATCCTTTGTTATTGATTGTATGTTTTTCAGAAACAACTTCCTCCTGATGACAAAGTTAAAACGATGACTATTGCTGGTCTAGCTTCAATGTACCACAGGTAAAGACGATGAGTTAGACGGGTTTCCTGTTTGTTAACATGTACAAGGTTTATGTGATATATGTAGTAATATGGAATATAATTACCGACAAAGTTATCATAAATGCCTTGTTCGAGCTGCGTTGTCCTATGTCCATACTATTATAATACTCACTGGCCATAGCCCTTTTGGAATATCAGGAAAGTAAATACCTGATTTAAAGAATACCCCATTTTAGCCAGTTTCAAAACTCTAAAATAACCGTACGATTTCTTTATATTTGTCCTGTGTTGTTTACAGATATCTGAACAACATACAGATCCTGTGTCCACACAAGCCAATGTATGGCGGCGTAGTCAGTGGATGGCAGTTCTGCAGAATGCTGAATTCTTGGGGAGCCGTTTATTTCATTAGGTAACACCGGTACACCCCTTTCTATGAAAACCCTATATGAACCTATACGAAATCAAAGTTTTATTTTCTGGCAAACAATGCATCAATGTGTCACAATGTTAAAAGACCGACTGGTACTATTTAAAACTTTGACTGATTCTTGGTTATCGAGCTGCACTTCGTTGTACGTGCACGTTTAATACGTACTCTGTAGATAAATTAAAACTACATTGTATTATGTACCACATATTTCCAAACTGAGAAATCTTTTCAAAAATGTTCCTACTACAGAACCAATACGATTGATTCCATGTCCTTAAAGTATATGTAATGCCACTTGTAATCTCCCATTTTACAATTATACAGTTATGTCATAGTCAAAATAATTCTAGGAGGGACGTTTTCCCCGGCTGATTATGGAGATGAATCTTCTGCATCTATTGATTTCAAATATATTGCTTAATCACTAGTGGTTCATCCAATCCCGTGTACCAGAAAATAGAATGATTATGTTACTTGAAAAAAGAAAGAATCATGGCGTTGTTCTGCACTTTAGAATATTTGTCAATAAAAGTGCTGTCTGTTAAAAGTTATCGCCCATGCAGACACATTAAATTACGCGCGATACAAATATTCGTTTACAAACCTTGACCATAACTATAAACAGAATGTAATTCAAAAGGTAAATTGCATATTTATATTTAACCTTCATTTTGAGACTTGATGTATAGATTTCTTTTTTTAATATAATTTCTATTTTCAATAAATTGGACAGTCAGCAGCGGATTTCATTTAGCTATCTTATATGATAATTATATCAAAATTATGGTGTCATTATAATCATCATTCAAGATTCATGATTTCATAACTCACATGAGACATCTCTAGGCTTATATCTTTACAATGCAATACACATTTTCGGTTAACAAACTGCATGTTGAATTATTTATGAATTTGTCTATTAAAGATGAACTATTTATTTCTAGTCAGGATATCCATAGGGAGGTATCTGAGAATTTTCTGAATGAATTGTCCTTTGAAATCCATATCGACACCGGCTTCATACCAAGCAGGTATTTTCGGTAAAAATTAATATCGTGTTGAAAAACAATTGTGCTTAAATGATTATTTGTTTTTAAATAAAAAAAAAGAAATTACATTTTCATTTTATCTACAATTAAACTTTGTTTATTGTATTGACTGTTCTTTACATTATGTACGAGCCAAATATGTATTTGATTCTGTGAAATGGATATATAGATTCACTCTTTGAATAAGCTAATTTATTCGCATCTATTCGAAATCTAGTATAATTTTCCCTTGATGATCTTACTTGATATTTCCTTGCATAAGTCAACTGTATTCTTTTTGTTTTGTTTTGTCAAATAAGTAAAACTATACATTTTATGTGTACTGTTCTATGTAAACGCTGGTGCCTGATTAAATACCACTTAATCAAATATGTGCTTTTTTAACTCAGATATACAAATTGTTCAGATGTATCGAAACAGTTTGTACTACAACAGTACTGGGAGGTTGCAGACATGACAATGTCCATTTTAGTGAAACATTATACGATTCTCAATCTAAAGTGATTACTGGTATAATGTAAACGTCATTATTACCGATCTTAAGGTTGTATATATAACTTCATCGACATTAACTATTTCCCTAAAGCGCGATCATGAAGACCATGCATGGAGATGACCAACCCTCGGATACACAGACGCTGTTTCGTGTGTTATTGAAGGTAAAAATAGATCATATATGTAATTACCTACTTATTCACATCCCAACAGTATTTGAAAGTGTTTGCGTCCCTCGACTTGACAGTACCCATCGAAACAGCGCTGACCCCCCTGGGATCTTAACTTATTACAGAGCTAACTATTGTACCCTCCCCCCCCCCCC